TTGTTTGTTTTATACCTAAAAAAAACCCACAAATAACCTTCCTCCCTTTTTTCAAGATTTGGTTTACAATGATTTTATTATAAAGCACAATTAAATTGTATAAAATATTTAAGACTTGCCTTCACTTGGCAGTTTTTGCTGTCCGCTTCCTATTTTGAGGTTCAGCCACAGCACAGCTATTTATTTACAGTGTGAAAAAAATTGTCACAAACATCACAATGGGTACACACTGTATGACATTTCATCACCTAAACATGGGAATACATATGTAATACAATGCAGTTAGACATTGTTAGTGACCTATTTACAGTATTATATATATATATACTGAAGCTCTAAGGTTGAACCTTAGGAGATATGGAGAAAGTATTCAGACTATTTACTAAAAACAAAAAGGAATACACACCATAAAAAGTAAATGTATTTTTTTCTGAAATGTAGTGGAGTAGAGGTATAAAGAAGCTCAAAATGAAAGTACAAGTACCTCAAACCTGTGTACAATTAATGTACTTGAGTTACTTTCCTGCTTTGCACAGATATTGAGGTTACAATATAAATGTCAAGTAATTAGTGCCTGTGTGTGAGGTGAAGGATTTCAGTGTTTACAGGATGTATATCTGTATGTATTTAAGCTTCTGTGAGTGTGTGTGTGTGTGTGTGTGCGAAACAAGGCAGACAGGGCTGCCGGTACAGAGGCTGACAGACCAGCAGAGTAGGAACTCTTTTCAACAGGTGACTTCTCTGAAAAATAATAGTCAGATGCAAGCACCTTGCCTGTTTCTTTCAACCCACTGCAGCACAAGGACTCAGTGGTGGGACACTTATGGGCAGATAGTTTTTCAGCAGTGTGCCTCTGTAGTTTTCATTGAACAGGTGGATACACTTTAAAAACAACAACCTGGTGGCTCAGCAGAGCTACCTGTTAAACTGGTTCTACTGTATATTAATTTGCCTCATTTACACCAGATTTTCAGCCACCTGTAGGATAATTATATTCCACAGAGCATTCATTATTATTATTATTATTATTAATAATAATGTATTTACTTGAGTTGATTTTTTAGGGGGGTTTCCTTAAATTGATAGCAGCAGTCAAGACAAACAGTAAATCTGGGGAGAAAGGGGTGTGAACACAACAAATGTCATTCGAGATTATAATGTATACCTGTTAGGCCCTTTGCAAATATATAAATAAATAAAAGATACATTTGATCTATTGTTTGACTGGAAAGTTGCTGACAAATTAGCAAAGAAGTCACTGCATACAAAGTGTAATTCATTAGGTTTGGATGATATCCTTAGTGTTCTACAGATTAGAAACAGGAGTTTTCTGGGTAATTAAATAATGCTGTAAGTTAACATTATGACCAGGAATCTTTGTTTTTTAAGAAATAATGTTTTTTTTCCCACTGTCTTATTGATATGACACGTAGCTTTTTACCACAGTACCCATAAGCTTTAGCTTCTGTCTCTACAGAGACAATGCCTGTTAAAGGCACTGATTAGAGCTGTACCAAATTCAGTACATTTTATTGTTGCAAATGTGAACAAAACACAGCTCTGCTGTTACCTAACCCATCAAAGATCCAAAAATGGCTGATTTAAACAGCTGAAACTTGTATCAGTTTTTTAGAAAGTGCAATCTTTAGCTCTGTGATTGGACCTTCCTTACTCTGTCTTGTCTGGTGACAACTTGACAAGCAGGTCAAAACAGAAACAAGCAGAAAGTGATTAGGTCAGGGTTCTCTCAGATCAATGAGCCAGTCATTGATGAGTAGTTGCTGCAAACCTTGATGTTTCAAAATGTGAGAAGCATATAATTATTTAATTGTGGAAACTGTGGAGGTTTGCACAAGCGTTGGTGTTAGCAGAGCTCACCGCAAGAAGCATGTAACTGCTTAACCTTTGACTTGAAAGTGCCAAAGCTGCTAATAAGCATTTTTCAGCCAAGTTCACAGTCGTAACCTGTCCAGGGTGGACCCCACCTCTCGCCCAATGTCAGCTGGGATTGGCTCCAGCCCCTCCCCCGTGACCCTCTTCAGGAATAAGCGGTATATATAATGGATGGGTTCACAGTGGCAAACCTTAATCACTAGATGCAGCTTCCCTGGGTGGTTTATTCCAGTTTTTTATTTTCACTGCTGTTCCCCTTCTACCCATCTCGGTGGAATGAGTCATTTTCTTTAATCATGTACTTTTAGTCTCGTTAACCTGCATTCACACAGCAAGCTGCGCCATCATCAGCCCACAGGTTTTTTATTTATTTTTGACAGAGTAGAAAAAATGGAAACATGGCTGATCAACAAGCTTGCTAAAAAAACTGACTGCAGTCAAACATTCGTGCTGTCCAATTATATTTCCATACTTATTTGTGAAAGGCTGTTTTGTATTCTGGAAGTGTGAAATGGGTGAAAAGTTGCTTGTACCTTTTCAGAAATCCCAACTTCTATTACAACACCTATGGATGTAACATTTTTGAGTCTAAGTTCAAAGGAAAATTTGTTATTTTCATTTTATTTTATTCATATCAGTAAATGCTGCATGTTCAAACCTCTGTCACTACAGGCTGCAGCAAACACACTGCAGACGGAGCTTTTTATCATGACAAGAATCAGATCAAAACAAAGCAAATGATCAACAAAGTCACCCCTGTGAATATGTCCTGAAGGGAATAACTGGAGCTGCAGTCATTTTTGTATTGGATTGAAGGCAATGGGAGAACACATGGCTCACTTGCATGAACTCACACCATCTCACTGGAGATTGTGTTGGGACTGAACACCAAATTGCAGCAACTTGGTGTAAAATGTAGTAGCCAGGGACATCATGTTCATGATGTTGTGACCCATGTTCACTGCACCCTCAAGTGAGCAGCTCCCTGAAAGACGAGCCGTCGTTCAAGAATTTTTATTATGACATGTCAGAGCAGTTGACCACTGCTGCTAAAGTGATTTTGTACTTCTGGAAAAACAGGAACAAACAGATATTTTGAACTGAATCTCCACGTGTGGTCAAGGAGAGAGTGAAGGCTGTGATATTTAGCACCTGTGGCACTTTATGGGGAGAAGGCAGTAAACTCCTCAGTTAAAAACAGACTGTTTTGCCTTTAGTCCTCATTTTTAGCAAAGATGGGGGGTGGACTAATCTCACACAGGCATTTTTGAGTGCATCTTTGCATAGTTATCAGTAACCTATCAGTAACCTACCATATCTTAAATGTAATGCAAGAAAAATGTTTACACAAAACACGTTTTTCTTGGCAACTAAAGATCCTGTTGTATTCATTGCAACTCGGTTTCTGACTAGTTGTGCTACTTATTTAGTATAATTTTACTATAGCATGAATATACATAGAATATTGTTGACATAAAGTACTAAGACAGATTTTATCTTAGTTATATTGGCAGATGAATTTCCATGAAAGAAACTGCTCAGTGTAAACCCCAGTTAATATTTACTGTTTATTTATTGATTACATGAAATTGAAATCTTCATTTATGCTGAATTAGATGGTTGTTTGTAGACAAATTTAACATTTTTTATGGGTAGTTCACATTCTGTCCTCTGACTAAAAGCCTAAAGTTTGTGCCAGCTTAGCATTTAGAAACAGCTGGAAATGTACCAACTGAGTACCCTCTAATTACTTATAATTAGTACCAGGTTATATGGTTCCTTCCAGGAAACGTCTTAGGAAATTATTTAGAAATAAACTGGTATTGATAGACCCGTAAAATAAAGTGTTACCCAGTTTTCCCATGTACAATAAACACATAGTGCAAATTGGCAGATACATGCAAAATCATATTAAAAAAAAAAACAAAATCCCAACTCAAGGTCCACTTGTTTATATATTCTGGACATCTTAACCTTATTACTTCATCAGGAGATAAAGTTTGCTCAGTTGTGGCATTAGTGGTGTAGATCTAGAAACTTTGCAAATATGCACTTCTCTGACTTCTCATCCAGGTCAATTCAATCCGCCCTTGGTAACAGAAGCTAACGAACTAATGACCACTGCACAAACTTTCAGCTCAAGGTCCACTTGCTCATTTGTACTGGAACTATTTAATGTCATGGTCAACATGTATCCTACAAGCTCTCAGAATAATGGAACCCGGTCCATGGAAACTCTGTGATATGGTCAAAGCTTCCCAGGAAGAGAGTAACTGGACTTTAAATTGAGGTTGTTTTAATAAAATTTCTGCATACATATCACAGTAAACATCAACACAGAAAAAAATGCTCTTAATTATGCCCTGGTATTATTAGCATTATATCAGGTTTAACAGTATCTCCCAGCTCCTCATTATGTTAACAATATTCTGTGTATGCAGTTTGTTAAAGTAAGACGAGTCTGTGCAAAGCAACTGCCTATTGCTAAGACCGTAGTTTTCAAGGGCTGTAATGAACTGTCAAGTTAAACACATGCAAAAATTCAAGCCGATGTTCAGTGCAATGAGTTGTTTTTATACTATTCATTAACTACATCAGACAAATGCATTAAACAAACAAAAAGAAAATACATTTTAAATCCATTTTTTATGGCAGTTGCTCCGATGTTTGAGTCATCCTGAGTATGTAATCACAATGTGATTCCACTGAAACGATGAGCAATCATTTTTATTTACCATCCACAGCACAGTGTGCATTAATTAGCGAGTAGTAAGATCAGAAGAAACTGTCTCATTGTTCAAATATGAATCTGTTTCTGCTCACCTCTTTCCACAACATGTCAAGAAACCAAATAATATTTTATGTTTTCTCTTGTGTTACAGAGTGAAACCAAAGGGGGGAAATGGAACTGTATTTAAAAATCACAGCAAGCCTCATCTTGTTGGTTCAAGTTTTTCACCTGGCATCGCTTCAATATACAACCACCTCTCAAGTGCATACAAATGATGAAGAATGGCGTTTTGACTCAGGCAAAAATAGTGATGCAAGTCCAGATGTTTCAGAATATGAGCAAAGCAATGACTACAGCGGTGGGATAGAACCTGGCTTCATGGGAGTATACAGTGAAGTTGAAAATCAGGCCAGCCATGATAGGGGTGTAAATGAAACATCTGAAGATGTGACTACTGTCACTGCCCCCCTGCCTCAAATGTTTTCAAATGGCACAACTGCTACACCCACACATCTCGCAAACACAAGCCAGATCAACATGACATCTTACAACTCAACGACAACCCCTTTTATTGCCGAAGATAGCACCAGCTTTCCAGATTTCTACAATCACACTGATTTACCGTCAACACCCTTGACTCAAGAGAGCAATGATACGCAAGTATCCACAACAATTCAAGGGCTAACAGACAGCACGACGACACCAGAGATAAAGGAATCATCCACTGTGTCTTCAGCTACAACACTGTTCCCCTCTGAGACCACAGAAACAACCCCTGTGACTTTGACTACCACTTTTGCCGATATAGATGAGGAGGCCAACTTGACAAACAGAGATCTGGCCTCAGGGAGCGATTCAGAAAGAGGTACTGCTGCAAATTCAGGTGTCACATTATCTGCTGTACATTTCTCTGCCCAGAAAACCACTTTGTTTTCTTTGCAGTGTTACATCACTTTATAGACCGATACCAGAAAAAAAAAAAAAATTTGTGTGAAATTCCAAGCCCTCTAGACTGTTTGTAAGGAGGCTTGACAGAGCTGCTGTACAGGGCAAGAAAACAGGCATGAAATCTGAACACAAGTTGCCTTTAGGTTTTTAAATTAACACTGTGCTTATTGCTTAAACTGACATACCTGTAGACCACTGTTGCTTCTTTTGCACATTGCTTTTTCTGTCCTTTCCCTGACCCACATTTGCCTATATCAGCTTTCCCACTGGCAAAGGACAAACATCCCCTTATTTTAAAGGAAAAGGCTGGATTGGCTTTCAGGTGCTATCAGGCTTACAGCCACCTTCTCAGCGGGACAATGAAAGCTTGTTTTATTGGGAAAGAACCCAGTGAAAGGTGGTCAGGGACTGAAGTCAAAGATACATGTGCTACTGCTGCTCAGGCGTGTGAGCTGCTTGTCCTGTAAAATATATGCGTGTGAGCTCACTACCAACACCATGGCGAGAGGGAAAAAAGGCATTTAGAGAGCCGGCAAGGGGTTGGGATAAAAATCACATTGTCAGATATGACAGCAGGGCATAATACTAACCAATGATGGCAATAAATAGTAGGAAAAGAAAGAAAAATCTGCTCTACAGTTGACGGACACATCGTATGCACAAAAACTACAGAAGCACAGGTGACTAAGTCCAGATAAACAGAGTCTATAGAAATGAACCTTCAAGTCAACTATGCTTTTAGTGATATCAGTAAATAAAAATGTCATCTTACTTTAGCTGCCTTAGCTACCTTAATATACCAAGGTAACAATTGTTACCCTGACATAAGGTTGTTTATAATACATTACCGCTAAGAGTTTACAGCCATGTTAGCAGCTTAGTGAGACTGTACCTTAGGCGCAGTGGAGCTTTGCGCTAAAAGGTAACATCAGCTTCCCAGGTATAATGTTCACCTTCACAATCTTAGCTGAGTGTGTCAGCATGCCGGTGTATGCTAAACAGAAAGTACAGGTGAAACTGAGGGGATTGTCATTCTGCAGGTATTTGATCATAACCCAAAGTACAGGATAAATTAAAATTTTGATCTAATGACAGGGGCAGATGAAAAATGTGGTCATTGCCAAAGTTATTACAGTTCATCCTGAGATGACATAAATGTCTTTATGAACATTCATGGCAATCCATCCAACAGAAATTTCAGCCAAAATCACAATCATCAACTACAAGGTCTCACTAGAGGAAATGAAAGGGGATCGCCAACGTCAGCAGGATTCACCCTCGAGGGAACATGGATATCTGTACCATGTTTCATAAAAACACAAGGCTTGTTGAGCTATATCAGACCAAAATGGTGGCCCAGCTAACAGACCAGCATTCCTATCCATGGAGCCACACCACTAAGGCATCTAGGGCATTCAGATTAGGATAATACACTGTAGTTTAATTTGCATGCATTTACATGTAGGAAAGTACATCAAAAGCCCATGAGAGTAACCTCAGCTCTAAAACATTCAAGGAGAGGGGAATAAGCTGACCGCATATTTACTCAAAATACTGTCTCAGCAAGAACAAGACTTAAATAATTCCAGTCATATTTTGTTATATTTACCTCCAAATGAAATGCTAGATGCAGCAAAATGAAAAAAGAATAGAAATATATGGAATAAAAACCAAAAAAAGGTATTTTGGCTTGTTCGTCCTAGGTTAAGGGTGCATTGATGCTACGTAGCTAGTGGGTAGATTGAGTGATTTGTAGATAAACAGAGTCACTGAATTATTTATGAGACCTGATAAAATGCAAATATTTAGAAACAGTATTTCTGTGTCAAAGGATTCTGAAGACAGCTGTCTCTTTCAAATTTGCCTTTTCCCCACTGCAGCTGCCTAAAACACAAACTGCGAAAAAGAAGAAAAAGTACTTTGAGGGTTTAACAATAACACCTTATGAGCAATGAACTTATAAAGCTACAGTTACACATTTTGTTAAAACATTTAACACCCTATAATATGAACAAAATCTCAGCATCTATACAATATGTTGTGTTTTGCACACCTTTGCAATCCCGGCCGGCAATCGGGTGAAGGCGGGGTACACCCTGGACAGGACGCCAATCCATCGCAGGGCTAACACATAGACGAACAACCACACACACGCACACACACTCCTATGGGCAATTTAGAGACACCAATCAACCTAAGCTGCATGTCTTTGGACTGTGGGAGGAAGCCGGAGTACCCGGAGAGAACCCACGCAAGCATGGGGAGAACATGCAAACTCCACACAGAAAGGTCCCAGGTGGGGCCCGAACCCGGAACCTAGCCTAATATAATGGGAACTAAAATAATGTTCCATCACATTTCATCTTTATTTCGATGATGAGCACAGCCTTCTGCTCTAAAATATTCAGATGTATTCAAGCAATTATTATAAGTGTGGAATGCTAATTGCATTAATCATTGCAGTGTAAATTAGACAAATCTGTACAGCTGACTAATTGGTATGTGTATCTATGCAAAGTGTTGGCACTGGAAATAGAGTTTCAAAAACACATTTCAGCCACAATTATGTGACAATTAATCCTCAAAGACACCATATAAATAATTTTGTTGCTGGCAAATTAATTGTTACTCTCTCCCACCTCTTCCCCTGCACTCTTCTTTTCGCCAATTAAGATCTGCCATCAGAACCACACAAGAACAAGAGGGTCGTAGCCTGGGGGGTTATTCTGGGAACGATGGTGGTTGTGGCCTGTGTGGGACTGGTGGCCTACGTCATCCTGAAAAAGAGACACCAAAAGTTGTTCTCCCACAGGAAACTGGTTGAGGAGTATCCTTCAGACCCAGGTATGATGGTTTCCAGACTCCCTTATAAAGTCAAAGGAATATTCCACCCTAAGACGTATTTAATAACACTGTTATCTGTGATCTCGATCAGGATTTAATTAGGGCTGGCAACTTGAGCCGACAATATTAAAAAACTCTCAGACAGGTGGGCAGCAGATTGCAAACTGCTGCTGTAAAAGTGTACTAAATATGACGACTGCTTTATATCACTCACTTATGCACACAGTTGCATACTCAGTCAATACATTTCCCATGAGGTCAACATTCTGGGGAAATGGTCTGATACATAATCCCCTAGTTCCAGTCCAGTGAGCTGTTGTTATACTTTGTTTAGCCATTTTTTATATTAACTAAAACAAAAACGAATTGTCCCTGTTCAATGTCTGACGGTTTGTTATTCCTGGACCTGTGCCATAGAATAACAGAATTAAAAACACATCAGGGAAACACACCACTGCAATGAGTGACATATTTTGTCATTACAAAACACAAGACCCTAATACTTGTTAAGAATATCCAGAAATTTCATGCATAGACCCATGACTCTAGCTTACTTCAGATGCTGTAAAATGTTATGGATGTTTGGAGAAAAAAAAAACAGTATCAGGGTTTGGTGTTTCATAATGGGGAAACATGTCACCAAGAGCAGCGTTGTGTTTCACTGATATGTTTTAAATTGTTTTTGAACATCATTGTTGGTTTTGATTTGATTCATTCTTTCAAGCATGTAAAGACAGTTGATATGTCAACACACATAATTTTACACATATCCAACAAATGCTAATCCAATATCAATTTGCTTATACCTAGTACATGCTTGAATGGAGTAGGAAGAAGTCAGACTTATCCAGTCCTACCCCATGACATCATCTTACATCATTGGTTTGCAAGCAGTAAATGATTCACTTCTACCCACACAAGTATTATACTAAAAAAAGATTATAACAGTGTTAACATTCTTACATAATTACA